ACTATATTAATGAGCAAAAGGAAAAATTAGTGTAGGAAGGGCCAAATCAGAAAGACCTGGGAGGCAAAATGGAAAGGTCTTATTTCCAGAATAAAGCGTAAAGATAAATATAAGGAATTAAACAAGATTATGTGTTGTCGAAGGCTTACATGGCTGGAATCACTGGGTTGCTGTGAGTTTTCTGGACTGTATGGCCATGTTCCAGAATGCTACTGGAACATGGTCATACAGCCTAGGAAACTCACAGTAAACAAGATTATCCTCATGATTAAACAGTCATAATAAGTATAGCTAAATTAGTAAACTCTTCCCAGGGAGAGGGAAAAACTGGGTCCAGGATGAGGAAGAAAACAGAATGAGTAATAATGTCCCATAAACACCAAAACAGCAAAATAGTTTAAAGAGTAAAATTCAATGCAGTAGGGCGTAACTCAATGTTATATCTGCAAATCTTGTAAGAGGTGCCCTGGAAAGGGCTTGGGCAACAGAGAAAAGCATATCCTTTAGTTTCACTTTCTTTTGAGAATCTTAGGCTGATCGTTATGTATTACATAACAGAATGGGGGACAATGCCTGGCTCGAGAGCAGTACGTGTGAAAAAGATCTTGGAGTCCTCGTGGTCAACAAGTTAAACATGAGCCAACAATGTGATGTGGTGGCAAAAAAAGCCAATGGGATTTTGGCCTGCATCAATAGAAGCATAGTGTCTAGATCTAGGGAAGTAATGCTACCCCTCTATTCCGCTTTGGTTAGACCACTTTACCTGGAATATTGTGTCCAATTCTGGGCACCACAATTCAAGAGAGATATTGACTTTAAGCTGGAATGTGTCCAGAGGAGGGCGACTCAAATGATCAAGGGTCTGGAGAACAAGCCCTATGAGGAGCGGCTTAGGGAACTGGGCATGTTTAGCCTGAAGAAGAGAAGGCTGAGAGGAGATATGATAGCAATGTATAAATATGTGAGAGGAAGCCACAGGGAGGAGGGAGCAAGCTTGTTTTCTGCTTCCTTGGAGACTAGGACGCGGAACAATGGCTTCAAACTACAAGAGAGGAGATTCCATCTGAACATGAGGAAGAACTTCCTGACTGTGAGAGCCGTTCAGCAGTGGAACTCTCTGCCCCGGAGTGTGGTGGAGGCTCCTTCTTTGGAAGCTTTTAAACAGAGGCTGGATGGCCATCTGTCAGGGGTGATTTGAATGCAATATTCCTGCTTCTTGGCAGAATGGGGTTGGACTGGATGGCCCAGGAGGTCTCTCCCAACTCTTTGATTCTATGATTCTATGATTCATCCAAACTAAATTGCCCAGCTAAATATCAGGGGCAAATCCCACATGGGGGTTCCGTGTGGGAGGTTTGGCCCAATTGTTTCATTGGTGGGGTTCAGAATGCTCTGTGATTGTAGGTGAACTATAAATCCCAGCAACTACAACTCCCAAATGACAATCTCCCCTCCCAACCCCACCAATATTCAAATTTAGGTGTATCGGGTATTGGTGCCGAATTTTGTCCAGTGAATGAAAATACATTATTATTATTATGTATAAATATGTGAGAGGAAGCCACAGGGAGGAGGAGGGAGCAAGCTTCCTTTCTGCTTCCCTGGAGACCAGGACGCAATGGAACAATGGCTTCAAACTACAAGAGAGGAGATTCCATCTGAACATTAGGAAGAACTTCCTGACTGTGAGAGCCGTTCAGCAGTGGAACTCTCTGCCCCGGAGTGTGGTGGAGGCTCCTTCTTTGGCAGCTTTTAAGCAGAGGCTGGATGGCCATCTGTCAGGGGTGATTTGAATGCAATATTCCTGCTTCTTGGCAGAATGGGGTTGGACTGGATGGCCCAGGAGGTCTCTTCCAACTCTTTGATTCTATGATTCTACATTAATTAGACTTTTAGTTGCGGTCAATTGTGATTATTATTAATTATTCATTTCTATCCCACTTTTTCCCATGGGTGGGGTTCAAAGCAGTATTTCAATGGGAAGTGTGGGCCTGCTTTTGGCCGATGAGATAGGATTGCTGTTGTCATGTGCTTTCAAGTCGTTTCAGACTTAGGTCAACCCTGAACAAGGGCCGGGTAAATGACCTTGGAGGGCCGTGTCTGGCCCTTGGGCCGTAGTTTGAGGACTCCTGCTTAGATCATGCATGGACAAATTTTGTTCCTCCAGGTTTTTTGGACTTCAACTCCCACAATTCCTAACAGCTAGTTCCAGTGTTCCTTTCCAGAATAGGAAACTCCCAGCATCATGTCCCGGACGCACTTTATTAGAGATTTAAGACTGTCTGCACATTGCACCTATCCTTTGTTGTTGTTCATTCGTTCAGTCGTCTCCGACTCTTCGTGACCTCATGGACCAGTCCACGCCAGAGCTCCCTGTCGGCCGTCACCATCCCCAGCTCCTTCAAGGTCAGTCCAGTCACTTCAAGGATGCCATCCATCCATCTTGCCCTTGGTCGGCCCCTCTTCCTTTTGCCTTCCACTTTCCCCAGCATCATTGTCTTCTCTAGGCTTTGCTGTCTCCTCATGATGTGGCCAAAGGACTTCCACTTTCCCTCTCTAGTCTCCTTCCTTCCAGTGAGCAGTCGGGCTTTCTTTCCTGGAGGATGGACTGGTTGGATCTTCTCGCAGTCCAAGGCACTCTCAGCACTTTCCTCCAACACCACAGCTCAAAAGCATCGATCTTCCTTTGCTCAGCCTTCCCTAAGGTCCAGCTCACACATCCGTAGGTTAACTACAGGGAAGACCATGGCTTTGACTAGGCGGATCTTTGTTGCCAGTCTGATGTCTCTACTCTTTACTATTTTATCGAGACTGGACATTGCTCTCCTCCCAAGAAGTAAGCGTCTTCTGATTTCCTGGATGCAGTCTGCATCTGCAGTAATCTTTGCACCTAGAAATACAAAGTCTGTCAGGGCCTCCACGGTTTCTCCCTCTATTTTCCAGTTGTCAATCATTCTTGTTGCCATAATCTTGGTTTTTTTGACATTTAACTGCAACCCAGCTTTTGCGCTTTCTTCTTTCACCTTGATTAGAAGGCTCCTCAGCTCCTCCTCGCTTTCGGCCATCAGAGTGGTGTCATCTGCATATCTGAGGTTGTTAATGTTTCTTCCAGCAATCTTCACCCCAGCTTTGCATTCCTCAAGCCCCGCACATCCTGCATGATGTGTTCTGCATACAAGTTAAAAAGGTTGGGTGAGAGGATGCAGCCTTGCCGTACGCCTTTCCCAATCTTGAACCAGTCTTTTGTTCCGTGGTCAGTTCTGACTGTTGCTACTTGGTCCTTGTACAGGTTCCTCAGGAGACGTAGAATCCTACATTTCACCTGTCATGTCCAGCACTTTTAACTGTACCCATTACATTTGGCCCGGCCCTAGTTTTTAAATGTGTCACGGTGTATTGTTTTATTGTTTTACTGTTACTGCTTAATGTTTTTTTGCTTATGAGTTATATAATGTATTGCTATGTTGTTGTTTTATTGAAGGCCTTTGTAAGCCGCATCAAGTCCTTCGGGAGATGTTAGCGGGGTACAAATAAAGTTAATAATAATAATAATAATAGTAGTAGTAGTAGTAGACGGCTAAGAATGGTGGGAGTTGAAGTCCAAAACACCTGGAGGACCCAAGTTTGCCTGTGCCTGCCTTAGACCCTCCCCTCTTGAGTCTGTTAAAGTTCGCCTGCCAACTTCCCAGTCAGTTTGAACCAGTTCTCACTATCACTCCCTTCTCAAGCCAAGTCCTTTCTTATCAGTCCGTTCTCATGCTAGGCTTGCAGATGTCTAGATGTTTACATATCTCTCTCTGTGGCCTCAAAACTGGTATGTGTAAGCTCTAATGTTCCAGCAACAGCAGGTGAATCCATGACAAAGGCTGCACAAGGTTGGTGGGTCAACAGAAGGTCGCACATCATAAACACCATAGAAGATTGTTCTTCATTTTAATTATTGTATTGTTTTCAAGTGGGTTTTTTTGCACTACAAATAAGATATGTGCAGTTTGCATTTGAATTCATTCATGTTTTTTTCAAATTATAATCCGGCCCTGCAACAGTTTGAGGGACTGTGACCTGGCCCTCTGTTTAAAAGGTTTGAGAACCCCTGGTCTAAGGGGTAGAGAAACTAGAGTTTCCACGCATGTTCCTTATTCCTTATATGAGAGGAGATATGATAGCCATGTATAAATATATGAGAGGAAGCCACAGGGAGGAGGGAGCAAGCTTGTTTTCTGCTTCCATGGAGATTAGGACAAGGAACAATGGCTTCAAACTACAAGAAAGAAGATTCCGTCTGAACATGAGGAAGAACTTCCTGACTGTGAGAGCCGTTCAGCAGTGGAACTCTCTGCCCCGGAGTGTGGTGGAGGCTCCTTCTTTGGAAGCTTTTAAACAGAGGCTGGATGGCCATCTGTCAGGGGTGCTTTGAATGCAATATTCCTGCTTCTTGGCAGGAGATTGGACTGGATGGCCCATGAAAGAGAGGAGATTCCATCTGAACTTGAGGAAGAACTTCCTGACTGTGAGAGCCGTTCAGCAGTGGAACTCTCTGCCCCGGAGTGTGGTGGAGGCTCCTTCTTTGGAAGCTTTTAAACAGAGGCTGGATGGCCATCTGTCAGGGGTGATTTGAATGCAATATTCCTGCTTCTTGGCAGAATGCGGTTGGACTGGATGGCACAGGAGGTCTCTTCCAACTTTTGATTCTAAGATTCTATGAATGACATAGTTTTCCCCATGCAGCTTTGATGTAAAGCAGTGGTGCACAACCTGTGGCCTTCCAGGTGTTTGGTCCTTCCACTCCCAGAAACCCCAATTGCCGGCTTGTCCTCTGGCCAGCAACTGAGAGCTGAAGTCCTAAACGCCTGGAGGGTTGCTGGTTGTGCAAATCTGGTGTAGACAGAGGGATCCCCAGTTGCTCTGCTGCAGAAGAGTGATCTTTGCATCCTTCCCCAGCTACATTGCTCCCCTTTCCCCCAGAAGCTCATGCTTGCCACATGGCGGTCCTTTTGCAGACATCAGTGGAGAGATTTGCTGGTACTGTGAAGAAGAAGATTGTTTTGGCTCCGAAGACTGGGAGGACTGCGGTGAGGAGCCAGAGGCAGAAGGCAAGGCCTGGGAGGACACACAAGGCACCTTCTGCGGATTCAAGAAGTCTTTCCTTTGTAAGCCGCCTTCTGCCCCTCAGCAGGCATCGCATCACAGCGATCCAGACTGCCCACTCCTGGACATCGTTCTGCCCCAGAAACAGCAGCTCACTGCTGAGGTGAGGCAAGTGGAGGCCTCCCTTGGGCTCATCCTTTTCTCCTTTGGGATTCCAGCGGCAGGTGGAGGAGGGAGCTGAGAGCCCTTTGTTCTTTGCCATCTCTGCTGTCTTCCTCTCCTGCTCCTTTCCCCCTTCTCTGCCCACACAGAGAAGAATGTGTACTTATGACTACACATGCACCCTCCTCTTGTGGGTGAGGATCCCGGATCAGTGGTTTTCGTTCCCTTAGGAAGTGGAGAAAAACGCCGAAGAGTTAGTTGCAGAGGAGGAGCGGATCAAGAGGGAGGCGGAGAAAAAAAGGCAGAAGAAGAAGCAAAAGAAGAAGGTAGCACTCTTTCCGCAGCACGTTTCTGGGGGGTGGGACAGGCTCTGCCTGAGTGAGGTGCATGGGCCCCCAGTGAGCGGGACATTTCCTTTCTCTCTTCTCCAGAGGCAAAAGGACAGGAAGAGGCAGGAGAAGCACGGCCAGGAGTCCAAGGATGAGTCGGTGAGTGGAAGAAGCAGCTTTTGCCCAAGTGGTGGGTGAGCCCTTTTGCTTAACGCAAACTCCATCAGCCTCCTAACTTCATGCTGCTAGTGACTTCGCTAGCTTTGATTGGTCAGAGACCTGATGTGGAAAGAATTATGTGGTTTCCCCATCTCTGCCCGCCTACCTGTGCGACTGCATTTCCGTCTACGAACCTACACGACCTCTCCGATCTTCCAGAGAGGCTCTTTTCTCGCTTCCGCCTGCATCGCAAGTGTGACTTGTGGGGACGAGAGAAAGGGCCTTTTCTGTGGTGGCCCCCGGCTCTGGAATTCACTCCCCAGAGATATTAAGCAAGCCCCCACGCTGGCAGTCTTCAGGAGGAATCTGAAAATCTGGTTATTCCAATGTGCCTTCAATGATTGAACGTAAGATGCTCCCTGACCAAATTTTGCACAAATGACCTCAGAAGCACTTTATTTTATGGTTCGTGCAATTAATTCCTTCCTCAATCCGGATCTCCCTCCCCAATAATTTCCATTTCCCAATCTCCCAGTGTTTTAAAATTTTAAATTTTATCCTTAAATTTGGCCCTGCCCTGTGTAATCCTGTGTGTTTAATGTCCGATTTTATACCGCTTTCTTGTTTATTATTTGGCTTTGCATTTTATGTTTTTATTTTGCATTTTATGTGTTTACTTTTTAGTTCTGCTATGCTTTTTGTTATATTGTGTTATGCTTTTGTGTAATACTATTTCTACTGTATTGATGGGCATGGCCTCATGTAAGGAGCGGGGTATAAATAAAGTTTTATTATTATTATTAATAATAATAATATTAAAAATCCTGGAAATCTGGTGGCTATTATTATTATTATTATTATTAATAATAATAATAATAATAATAATCTTTTTTTATACTCTGCCACCATCTCCTCAAAGGGGACTCGGAACGGCTAACACGAGGCCAAGCCCAAAATACAATACAGCAAAGTAAAATACACAGAAATGCAAATAATATCAAAATAAAAATACATGAAATCACAAGCTAAAATAAACAGTTGCAAAATAACATGATAAGGTGATAAAGAGATAAACACAGTGGGTGGGCCAAATGTACAGGATAAAATTGATAAAACCCTGGTTGAGATAGTAGTGAAAGTGTGTTTCTGAGGGAGGGGCTAACAGGGATAAAACTGGGGTCAGACCTTCGTTAAGGACGGGGGGGAGGTGTATCATGAGGACGGACCCATAGTGGGAACAGACGAAATATGGGATAAGTGTTCACTCGCCAAAGGCACATCGGAAAAGCCAAGTTTTTAGGGTTGGGGCTTTTGGAACATGGCCATATAGCCCGAAAAACCTACAACAACCCAGTGACTCCGGCCATGAAAGCCTTCAACAATACAATAATAATAATATAGTTGGAAGGGACCCCCAAAAGTCCCTTCCAGTGTCCCTTCTTTCTGCCAGGCAGGGGACACACCATTCAAACCCTCCCGACAGATGGCCATGCACTCCCTGCATAACAATAATAATAATATCAACAACAATAATATAGTTGGAAGGGACCCCCAAAGGTCATCCAGTCTAACCCCCTTCTTTCTGCCAGGTAGAAGGGACACTATCCAAACCCTCCCAACAGATGGCCATGCACTCCCTGCATAATAATAATAATAATAATAATAATAATAATAATAATAATATCAACATCAATAATAAACTTGGAAGGGACCCCCAAAGGTCATCCAGTCTAGCCCCCTTCTTTCTGCCAGGCAGGGGACACACCATTCAAACCCTCCTGACAGATGGCCATGCACTCCCTGCATAACAATAATATCAACAACAATAATATAGTTGGAAAGGACCCCCAAAGGTCATCCAGTCTAGCCCCCTTCTTTCTGCCAGGTAGGAGGGACCCTATCCAAACCCTCCTGACAGATGGCCATGCATTAACAACAATAACAACAACAACGTTGGAAGGCAGCCCCAAGAGCCTTTCAATACAGGCCGCTTCTGCTTGAGGATCTCTCCCAGTTCCAGTGTAATGTGTCTTGGCTGGGAGTCCAGTGGAGTCTCCTTCCTCCTCTGGAAGTTTCTAAGCAGAGGCTGGATGGCCACCTGTCAGGAGGGTTTTGACTGTGCCTTTTTGCATGGCAGAAGGGAGCTAGACTGGATGACCTCTGGAAGGGTCCCTTCTCGCCCGCTAAGCCTATGCTTCTCTCCAGATGTTCACCTATATCCTAATCTCGCCAGGTAGTGAATTCCAAAGCTGAGGGGCCACCACAGAGAAGGCCCTCTCCCTCTTTCCCACCAGACGCACCTGCAATATTGGTGCGAGTGAAAGGAGGGCCTCCCAGATGATCAGAGAGATTGTGCACGTTTATGGAAGGAAATCTTCCATAAACCTGGCAGTGCAAGGGTGGGAGGTGGGCATGGCTCACCACTCCCTTGACAGGCTGGGCCTCTTTCTTTGAAGGCAAAGTCTCCCTGCGAGAAGGATGTGGACAATCGAGGCTCCTCGGCTGCTCTTCCAAGCGCATCACCCGGAGCTGGACTCCTGGACTCGGAGGAGGACTCCCTGGAAGCCTCTCCAGGCGGGAGCCCCAGTGTGGAGGAAGAGGAAGAGGTGGCCGCAGCAGCCGCAAGAGAGGTGAGTTTGCACTCGCCGGAAATGGGGGGAGGACAGAGAAAAGGGGCTTGTTCTTAGTGAGGGAGAGCAGCAGTTGGGCGCACTGTCCCATCCACCTTCTTTATATTTCAATAAATATAAGCCTAGTTTTTCAGCCCCTTTTTTAGGCTGAAAAAGCTCCCCTTGGCTTATACTCGAGTCAAGGTTATTTATTATTTTAATCTGTTATTAGTATTATTTTTATTTCATTTATTATTTTATTACATTTACAGTATTTTACTCTATTATTATGATTATTATTACTACATTTATTATACGTTGTTATTATTGCATTTCCATTATTTTACTTAATTATTATTGTATTGTCGAAGGCTTTCATGGCCGGAATCACTCAGTTCTTGTGGGTTTTTTCGGGCTATATGGCCATGTTCTAGAGGCATTTCTCCTGACGTTTCGCCTGCATCTATGGACCTCTGAGGAAGCTTGCCATAGATGCAGGCGAAACGTCAGGAGAAATGCCTCTAGAACATTAATTATTATTGTTATTACATTCATTATTTTACTCTCTTTATTATTGTTGGAAGGATACGTAAATACATTTACATTGAAGAAGGTTAGAATAATGATTTAATCAGAGTTGGGAAGTCTTATCTCATTACAATTTTATGTAAATACTAGCTGTCCCCTGCCACACGTTGTTGTGGCCCACTTGGGGGTTCTGCATAGGAGGTTTGGCGCAATTCTATCGTTGGTGGGGTTCAGAATGCTCTTTGATTGTAGGTGAACTTCAAATCCCAGCAACTACAACTCCCAAATGTCAAGATTCTATTTTCCCCAAACTCCACCAGAGTTCACATTTGGGCATATTGAGTATTCGTGTAGAGTTTGGTCCAGATCCATCACTGTTTGAGTCCACAATGATATCTGGATGTAGGTGAACTACAACTCCGAAACGAAAGAAGTGACAAGTGGAGTGCCGCAGGGTTCCGTCCTGGGCCCGGTCCTGTTCAACATCTTTATTAATGACTTAGATGAAGGGCTAGAAGGCATGATCATCAAGTTTGCAGACGACACCAAATGGGGAGGGATAGCCAATACTCCAGAGGACAGGAGCAGGATTCAAAACGATCTTGACAGATTAGAGAGATGAGGCCAAAACTAACAAAATGAAGTTCAACAGTGACAAATGCAAGGTACTCCACTTAGGCAGAAAAAATGAAATGCAAAGATACAGAATGGGGACACGTGGCTTGAGAGCAGTACGTGTGAAAAAGATCTTGGGGTCCTCGTGGACAAGTTAAACATGAGCCAACAATGTGATGTGGCGGCAAAAAAAGCCAAAGGGATTTTGGCCTGCATCAATAGGAGCATAGTGTCTAGATCTAGGGAAGTAATGCTACCCCTCTATTCTGCTTTGGTTAGACCACACCTGGAATATTGTGTCCAATTCTGGGCACCACAATTCAAGAGAGATATTGACAAGCTGGAATGTGTCCAGAGGAGGGCGACTCAAAATGATCAAGGGTCTGGAGAACAAGCCCTATGAGGAGCGGCTTAGGGAACTGGGCATGTTTAGCCTGAAGAAGAGAAGGCTGAGAGGAGATATGATAGCCATGTATAAATATGTGAGAGGAAGCCACAGGGAGGAGGAAGCAAGCTTGTTTTCTGCTTCCTTGGAGACTAGGACGCGGAACAATGGCTTCAAACTACAAGAGAGGAGATTCCATCTGAACATGAGGAAGAACTTCCTGACTGTGAGAGCCGTTCAGTGGAACTCTCTGCCCCGGAGCGTGGTGGAGGCTCCTTCTTTGGAAGCTTTTAAGCAGAGGCTGGATGGCCATCTGTCAGGGGTGATTTGAATGCAATATTCCTGCTTCTTGGCAGAATGGGGTTGGACTGGATGGCCCATGAGGTCTCTTCCAACTCTTTGATTCTATGATTCTATGAAAGGACACTGCCCACCAAACCTTCCAGTATTTTCTGTTGGTCATGGGAGAACTGTGTGCCAAGTTTGGTTCAATTCCATCATTGGTGGGGTTCAGAATGCTCTTTGTTTGTAGGTGAACTATAAATCCCAGCAACTACAACTCCCAAATGACAAAATCAATTTTTGAGTGAAGGACATACTTTGGGTTGTTAGGTGTCTTGTGTCCAAATTTGGTGTCAATTCGCCCAGTGGTTTTTGAGTTCTGCTAATCCTACAAACAAACATTACATTTTTATTGATATAGATATCTCATTAAGTATGCTAAGGCCAGCTTCCAGTTTTTTTTCCCAAAAATGTCATGGCTTTCATATTTCAAATTGCTAGAAATCTTGGCCATCTGTGCATAATCCCACAATTTATCCTTCCAATCTTTGATGCTTAATGTTTTCTCCCCTTTCCAATCTTTGGCAATTGTAATGCGTGCAGCCGCAAAGCTGTACAAACAGATTTCTCTCTCTGGCTGTTCTAAACTGTCTCTGAATATCCCTAATAGGCACATCCCTGGGTTGGTTTTTTTTAACTTTGTTATGGATCATTTTGTTTGGGTTGTTGTAGTTTTTTTTGGGCTATATGGCCATGTTCTAGAGGCATTCTCTCCTGACGTTTCGCCTGCATCTATGGCAAGCATCCTCACAGGTAGTGAGGTCTGTTGGAAGTAGGAAAATGGGTTTATATATCTGAGGTGGGACCAAGGACTCTTGTCTGCTGGAGCTAGGTGTGAATGTTTCAACTGACCACCTTGATTAGCATTTGATGGCCTGGTAGTGCCTGGGGCAATCTTTTGTTGAGAGGTGATTATATGTCCTTGTTTGTTACCTCGCTGTTGTGTTGCTGTTGTAATTTTAGAGGTTTTTTTTTATACTGGTAGCCACTCTTACAACCACCATGTCGGACTACACAGAGAAGCCATTGAAATCCACAAGCATGTGGACAATTTCAACAGAAAGGAGGAAACCATGAAAATGAACAAAATCTGGCTACCAGTATTAAAAAACTCTAAAATTACAACAGCAAAACAACAGAGAGGAAACAAACAAGGACATCTAATCACCTCTCAACAAAGGTTTGCTCCAGGCACTGTCAGGCCATCAAATGCTAATCAAGGTGGTCAGTTGAAACATTCACACCTAGCTCCAGCAGACAAGAGTCCTTTGTCCCACCCTGGCCATCCCACAGATATATAAACCCTTTTTCCTAGTTCCAACAGACCTCACTACCTCTGAGGATGCTTGCCATAGATGCAGGTGAAATGTCAGGAGAGAATGCCTCTAGAACATGGCCATATAGCCCAAAAAAAGTATGACAACGCAGTGATTCCGGCCATGAAAGCCTTCGACAATAGATCGTTTTGTTTGTTTCCTTTATTATTCTTTTCCAGCAAACTGCACCAATTCACAAGACCACCATACGTGAAAAAGGTCCTTTAACTTGTTTTAAGGAGGAGAGAAAATATGAGACATGCACACCCAATATAAATCTGATTTACACATGTGATCATGGAAAGGTCCAGAGCTGTAACCCCTATCCTTTTGCAGAACCTTTGCGAGATTCCTTCCCACAATTACCGCTCTTTCTTAGCATTTCTTTTTTGAAAATGGGGATGGATTGTCCTGCCATCTATGCGAGGGTTTAGCTGGAAGAGAGGGGGTGGTCCTCTCTGGGCGTTTGGCCCAATGCTGCTGCTTGTTGTAGAAGACGTGCTCTGCCCCACATCCCTGAATGCAAAGGGGAAGTCACCCAAGCTGAGAGACCCCGGAGCACTTGTGCTGGAGAAGGGTTCTTGTCCTTCCTTGTCTGCAGGAGGAGCTGGACCTGAGCAGCACGTTTGTCTCGAAAGCTCTCCTCAAGGTGGGCTCAAAGCCATTGCTGCCCAAGAAGGAGATGCCAGCCAAGCCTAGCAAGAAGGAGGTGGAGGGGAAAAGGAAGCCGGAGGTGAGATTTATTTATATATTTATTTACAGTATTTATATTCTCACCCCGCAGGGGACTCGGGGCAGATTACAATGTACATATACATGGCAAACTTTCAATGCCATAGACACACAACTATATATGACACACAGAGGCTATTTAACATTCCAGCTTTTTCATGAGGGTATTCTGGCCACCAGGGGAGCTGTTGCTTCACCGTCCATTTGTGACACTGATGAAATACTTCCTCATTCTTTTGCATGCTTGCTGGAGATCTTTAAGGCGTCGTAAATTAGCCTCCCCACATAAGCGGTACCTACATTTCCTACTTGACACATACAAAGGTCGACAGCAAGCTACACAAATTGGTTGGAAGTATTGTTGCCTGTATTGTTGTGTTTGGGCTCGGCCTCATGTAAGCCGCACTGAGTCCCTTGGGGAGATGGTAGCGGGGTACAAATAAAGTGTTGTTGTTGTTGTTGTTGTTATTATTATTATTATTATTGGAAGTTCACTCCAACCCGGGCTGATTTCGATCTCATGTAGTGCTCTTAATGCAGCTGACTCCCAGCCAACTCCGCCACAGTCCCGATGCCTGTGTCTGTAATAATAATAATAATCTATACGCATAATAAAGGTGAAAATATGTATGTATATGTGGATGGGGTGTCCGCTTACACAGACAGGCTCCCGCTTCCACAGATAGCTGTTTCTGGCCACATGACTATAGCTCCCACTACTCAGGAGACACTGCGAGTTATAGAGAGTGCCGTAAACATGTCCAAGAGCCTTGCCAATGTCCTCACCAACACCACACCTCCCGCCACCTAAGTGAAAGCTTTCATTCGGGGACAATTCCAACCTAGATTTACTGTATATACTCGAGTATAAGCATAGTTTTTCAGCCCCTTTTTTAGGCTAAAAAGGTTCCCCTCGGCTTATACTCGAGTCAAGGTTATTTATTATTTTACTATGTTATTAGTATTATTTTTAGTACATTTATTATTTTACTCTATTACTGTTATTAAATTTCCATTATTTACTCTATTATTATTATTATCATTATTATTACTATTATTATTACATTTATTAATTTACTCTATTATTGTTATTAAATGTCCATTATTTACTCTATTGTTATTATTATTATTACATTGATTATTTTACTATATGTATTATTATTATTACCTTTACACTATTTTACTGTACTATTATTTTATTACATTTATTATTTTACTCTATTATTATTATTATTACATTTATTATTTTACTCTATGTATTATTATTATTATTACCTTTACATTATTTTACTGTATTATTATTTTTAGTACATTTATTATTTTATTTTATTCTATGTATTATTATTATTATTATTATTATTACATTTATTATTTTACTCTCTTTATTATTATCGGAAGGATACGTAAGCACATTTACATTGAGGAAGATTAGCATAATGGTTTGGACAGTTGGACAGTCTTATTTTAAATTATAGTTTTATGTAAATACACAAAAACATTTAACCTACTGATGATTATCAGTAGCATCTGCATTTCTCACCCTCGGCTTATACTCGAGTCAATACATTTTCCCAGTTTCTTATGGTAAAATTAGGTGCCTCGGCTTATATTCGGTTTGGCTTATACTCGAGTATATACGGTATGTATTTTCTCCACCATAGGCATCCCAGTGTTCCTTTCTCTCTCAATTGGTGTGGAATTTGTATTCCCCCCCTTCCCCTCCATGGCACACAGCAAACAGAGGGACTGATCAGCAACAGAACACACTAGAGAGGTTTATTTATTTATGGCGTTTACATGCCGCCCCTCTCACCTCGAAGGGGACCCAGAGCAGCCCACAAGACACATATACATACAATGCACCATGTCACTAGCACAGCACAGAGATTGGGCCATTTCCGGCATCTGGAGAACCTGGCAGGGTTTCCATGGGGCTGTGGGGGATCCTTTGTTGGGGGATCACACTGGCTGCTCTTGTCTTCTCCCAGGTCCCGAGGGCCAAGCCTCAGGTGGTTGCCTTGGAGCACAGCCTGGTGCTGGCAGGTGAGCAAAGAAGTCTGGGGAGGGCCTGAGGGGGTGACTCTGTCCGGTTGCTCTTCAGCCCTGTCTCTGGGAGGGAGGCAGAGCTCAACCCCTGAATCTGGGATGCTGCAGTCCAATCCTTTCCCTCTTTCCCAGGGGATGTTTGGAGGAGTGTTTTGCCTTAGACGTGAAGCATCTCTCCAAGTGCTCAAAATGTTTTTCCTCCATGTTTTCTTTTCTGTCATCCTCTTGCTCCACATGTCAAGGTTGTGGGAACGACACTGCCAAGCAGGGGTGCTACCAGGACGCCGTGCTTCTCTTCACGGAAGCAATCAAGCTCAACCCCCGGGAATACAGGTGAGGTGGTTGCCCGTTGAGACAGTATCCACATCCTGGGCTTGCTCATTGTAACAGATTAGCCTACCTTACAAGGTTGGTGTAAAGGCAGTAATAGGCCTGGCTTGGAAAAGCTAAGGTCAACGGGGGTGGGGGGGGGGGCGGGTGGAGCGATCAGGCAGCTTCATAGCTTGAAGTGCAGTCTGATTGGCTGATGAAATTGGACAGAGTTGCTTAGCAAACATAGATGGGCGGAGCCAGAGGGAAAGGAAGAGCTAATTCAACCAGAGTCATGTCAGTGTTATGAAGCCAAAGAGGTTCCTGTTCCTTTGTGCAGAGTGTTCAAGGAATAGTAAGGTAGTTAGACCAATGAGACACTTTAGAGACCAAATTTGGTTTTAACACTATTCATGTATCATTTATTGAAATACAATCATCACAGAATCATTTCAGAATCACATCAAGGGAGAGCTCTCTTGCACAAACACATTCACACACACACACACACACAGACGCTTCCTCCATCAAAGATGATCAGTCTTTTCCGAGGAGGTGCAGACGCTCCGTTGCTGTCAGGACCCAGATGCCTTCAAACACGCCAGACACAGTTAAATGATAAAACACAGCTTTATTGATAACAAAAAGTCTTGAAAAGCACTTAACTGCAGTGCTGAAGTCTATTGGAGTGTTTGACACCAAAATTGAGTCAACAGAGCAAACTAAAATATAATCCGGATTATAGTGTAGACTCTTAATCCAGATTAAACTAAAAATGAAGCAAACTGCTTAAAAATCAATATGTAGCAGAAATACAGTCACTGGAGCAAGAAAATCACAGTTTCAGAACAAAAGGATGTTGCAGTCCCAAAAATATAAACACATAAAGTCCAGAAAAGCCAGAGCGTGGTCAAATTGGTCCTGAGGTCAATCCGAAGGAATCAAAGCTGGAAAGCTGGAACAACAGGAACTCACGAGGCTGGAGCCCAGGACCCAAAGGTGAGAGTTTGGCAAGGCAAAGAATAAGGTCCCATTTGGACACTTTGCTTCCTGCAACTGGATGTGCCAACAGAACTCCCTTATACCTTAAAGCTCATTGTCAGAGCTTGATGAGCTCCCCACCCTTTCATCATCGCTATCACCTGCTTCTAAGTCTGCAGCTGAATGCCCATCTCTCCACCTTTGCCAATTACTATCAGGGGTCAGATTCTGCCAAGAATCACCTGGCTGCCAGTCCCCCATGAACTCCTCGCTGGAAGTGGGCTGGTTGCAGATGTCTCTTATGTTCTGTACCTGAGTCCAATCCAATTCCTCCCCTTCCATGTCACTTCCAGACCCCAAATCCCCCTCAAAGCCCAAAAAGTCCTCCTCAGAAGTGGGTTCCCTAAGTAACTCCCGAATACGCTTCCTCTGTGCTTCTCCTTCAGATTCTGGCTCACAAACAGTCCTTTTAACACCTCTAGATGCTTCCCCATTCCCCATGTCGTAATCGGAGAAGCCCATAAACGTATCACTGTCGCTTGGTGCCAGGAGGATCTCTCTAACGTGTTGACGCTGCCTTTCACTCTCTGACTCCCGAGGAGACCTTTCCCCACTGCTACTAGGAGTAGCAGCTCTGTCAGGACGCTGAGCTACAACAGTTGCCATGGATCAGGAAGCGTGCATGTTCTTGGGGTCCCCTGGATTTATAGGCCAAAATCCAAAATCCTTTTAATAATCAGACTGTTTTGTCCCTTTCAAGTCCTTGTTCTTTTCAAGTTCAGGACATCCTCATTCCAGACCGTATGACTTATGGGGTACACCTGCACACTCCTTACATGCTCGCTCACACACCTTATTGTCCATTGTTGTTCAGCTATGCCTTACTGCCTCCTTGCTTCGACTGCCAAGTCTGACCCATATCATGCCTTGTGAGAACTCCATGTTGGTGTTTCCTTAGACCTGTTTCTTCTGCCCTTCTACATACATTCAAACATCCATTCTTTACATCAGTTGGGAGTTTGGTATGTTAAGAGTTAGTTTGGAGATTTGAAGGGGAAGAAAAGAGTTTTGGGAACTGTTGTTAGAAAGATTTGAGGAAAATAGTTAAGGTTTTCAGGGAGAAGAAGTAAGGAATTTAGTAGGCCTCTATAGTGTTAGAGTTCTGGTGTGGAAAGAGGATTCAGAAGGTTCAAAATAGCCTGTTTGTATTCCTGTGTGTGGAACATTGCTTTAAGAATCTCAAGTTATAAATCCATTTTCTGTAAGAGTAAAGCCTGACAGTTGATAGAAACCACTATGCATCCTTACTGTTCAAGAACAAAATAAAAAACATATTCTTGTTTCAGTTCACCTGTAATGTTTGTGTGTCTTATTGAACATTCTAGTGATGGAGGTGGCCTATGGATCAATAAATGGTGGCAGCAAAAGAAATCGTAATAAATAATTGGTGGCAGCAAAATAAGACATAATATACAGTGGTAGCATCCCACTCCATTTAGTTTTCTTGGCAAGGATACTGGAGTGGTTTGCCATTGCCTTCCCCAGGGATCACGCTTGGTCTGACCTCTCTGCCATAACCGTCCTGTCTTGGGTGGCCCTTCACGGTTTCGCTCATGACATCATTGAGGTGCTCAAGCTCCAGCGCCCCGACAAGGCGGTGATCCTTTGCTGGAGTGATCCTTTGCTCGAGGTGCAAAGATTACTGCAGATGCAGACTGTAGCCAGGAAATCAGAAGACGCTTACTTCTTGGGAGGAGAGCAATGTCCAGTCTCGATAAAATAGTAAAGAGTAGAGACATCAGACTGGCGACAAAGATCCGCCTAGTCAAAGCCATGGTATTCCCTGTAGTAACCTACGGATGTGAGAGCTGGACCTTAGGGAAGGCTGAGCGAAGGAAGATCGATGCTTTTGAACTGTGGTGTTGGAGGAAAGTTCTGAGAGTGCCTTGGACTGCGAGAAGATCCAACCAGTCCATCCTCCAGGAAATAAAGCCCGACTGCTCACTGGAGGGAAAGATACTAGAGACAAAGTTGAAGTAATTTGGCCACATCATGAGGAGACAGGAAAGCCTAGAGAAGACAATTATGCTGGGGAAAGTGGAAGGCAAAAGGAAGAGGGGCCGACCAAGGGCAAGATGGATGGATGGCATCCTTGAAGTGACTGGACTGACCTTGAAGGAGCTGGGGGTGGTGACGGCCGACAGGGAGCTCTGGCGTGGGCTGGTCCATGAGGTCACGAAGAGTCGGAGACGAATGAACGAATGAACAACAACACATTTTTCTCAGGCTGTGTGTGTGTGGTTTTATGATCTCAAGCTGTATGGGAGTATAGTATCTAGATTGAGGAAAGTCATTGTGATGTGTGGCAACCCCAAGGATGCCATGAGGTTTTCTTGGGCCAAGAAGACGGACGTTTCTGTTGTTCTGACTGCCCTCCTCTCCTCTCTTTCTGCTTAGGTTCTTTGGGAACCGCTCCTTCTGCTACGAGAGGCTCCAGTGCTATGCAGAGGCCCTGCGCGATGCCCAGCTAGCCCTCAGCCTACAGCCCGGCTGGCCCAAAGGCCTCTTCCGCCAGGGCAAGGCCCTCATGGGCCTCAAGGTACCAAAGGCGTTCCTCCCTCAGGGCAGTCGAGGATGTGGGGTGTGCTGGGGGTGCAGCAGAATAGCCTCTCATTAAACTATAAGCCAGATTTGTTGTTATAAGTTATTCCAATGCTGTACTTTACTATTCTGTCTTTATTGACCAGTCAATGGTTTGTTGACTAAAATCAAGGCTACTGAGAGTGACCTCTCTCTTTTCTCCCCAGAGGTACGCAGAGGCAGCCAGAACCTTTGAGGAGCTCATGCGACTGGAGGATTTCCGAGGAGATGCTGCCATCCAGCTGAGGCTCTGCCAAGCCCACTGCCTGCTGGTGAGGAAGATGAAGGCTGTTACGGGTGGAGGTGTCTGGCCTGACTGGGGTGGCACAAGCCAAGGGGCTCCTGGCTCCTAGCTGTGCCCCCATGAGGTCTGTTGGCCCTGTCCATGCGGGTGGGCTGGCTTTAGAGTGGACAGAACTGATCTGTTTGTCTTACTGACTGTACTCAATAATTCATGAAGAGTTGGAAACGACTGAACAAATGAACAACAGTAATAATGATAATAACAATTTATTTCTAGGCCGTCCACTTGACTCAGGGTGGTTTACAGACACAAAAAGGCAAACATTCAATGCCTCAATGTATTGTCGAAGGCTTTCATGGCCGAAATCACTGGGTTGTTGTGGGGTTTTTTTGGGCTATATGGCCATGTTCTAGAGGCATTCTCTCCTGAAGTTTCACCTGCATCTATGGCAAGCATCCTCAGAGGTAGTGAGGTCTGTTGGAACTAGGAAAATGGGTTTATATATCTGTGGAATGACCAGGGTGGGACAAAGGACTCTTGTCTGTTAGAGCTAGGTGTGAATGTTTCAACTGACCACCTTGATGAGCATTTGATTGCCTGGCAGTGCCTGGGGCAATCTTTTGTTGAGAGGTGATTAGATGTCCCTGATTGTTTCCTCTCTGTTGTTTTCTGTTGTAATTTTAGAGTTGTTTAAATACTGGTAGCCAGATTTTGTTCATTTTAATGGTTTCCTCATTTCTGTTGAAATTGTCCACATGTTTGTGGATTTCAATGGCTTCTCTGTGTAGTCTGACATGGTGATTGTGAGAGTGGCTACCAGTATTAAAAAAAACTCTAAAATTACAATAGAAACACAACAGAGAGGTAACAAACAAGGACATCTAATCACCTCTCAACAAAAGATTGCCCCCAGGCACTGCCAGGCCATCAAATGCTCATCAAGGTGATCAGTTGAAACATTCACACCTAGCTCCAACAGACAAGAGTCCTTGGTCCCACCTCAGATATATACACCCAATTTTCCTAGTTCCAACAGACCTCACTACCTGTGAGGATGCTTGCCACAGATGCAGGCAAAATGTCAGGAGAGAATGCTTCTAGAACATGGCCATATAGCCCGAAAAAACCTACAACACATTCAATGCCTCGAATGAGTACAAACACATCAAAATAATACAAGGTAATGCACAGAAACAGCAGAAAACTTACAACAAAAAAATTAAGCATCGAGATGAAAATAATAAAAAAAAATCCAACAAGACATAGCAAACTAAAACATGAGTAAAACATTACAACATATACCTTAAAAGCAAGTAAGATACAATTACATTAAAATGGCTAACACCAGTATTTATTTCAGATGTAGTGTAGCACCCATAAAATACAAGTGGGTTTTACCAGAGTTCCAATGGGTTAAGTGCGTAAGTGCATTTTCAGATGTTTCTTAAAGAAGAGCAGGGTGGGGACCATTTTTACTTCTTTAGGGAGGGAATTCAAGAGACGGGGAGTGATCATGGAGGAGGCCCCTCTCTCGTTCCCACCAATTGAGCTTGTGACGAAGGTCGGACCAAGAGGAGGGCCTCCTCCACTGACCGCTGTGCACAGGATGATCTGTAAAGGGAGATGCAATTAAAACACCAATCCAGCAGGAAAACTCCCTTCAAAGAGACAGAATGGGGGATGAGGCCTGGCTCGAGAGCAGGACGTGTGAAAAAGATCTTGGAGTCCTCGTGGACAGGAAGTTAAACATGAGCCAGGAATGTGATGTAGCAGCAAAAAAAGCCAATGGGATTTTGGCCTGCATCAAGTGGAGCCTAGTGTCTAGATCCAGGGAAGTCATGCTCCCCATGCTCTATTCCGCTTTGGTTAGACCACACCTGGAATATTGTGTCCAATTCTGGGCACCACAATTCAAGAGAGATATTGACAAGCTGGAATGTGTTCAGAGAAAGAGGGCAACTAAAATGATCAAGGGCCTGGAGAACAAGCCCTATGAGGAGCGGCTTAAGCAGCTGGGCATGTTTAGCCTGAAGAAGAGAAGGATGAGAGGAGACATGATAGCCATGTATAAATATGTGAGAGGAAGCCACAGGGAGGAGGGAGCAAGCTTGTTTACTGCTTCTTTGGATACTAGTACACGAAACAATGGCTTCAAAGTACAAGAGAGGAACTTCCTGACTGTGAGAGCCGTTCAGCAGTGGAACTCTCTGCCCCGGAGTGTGGTGGAGGCTCCTTCTTTGGAAGCTTTTCAACAGAGGCTGGACGGCCATCTGTCAGGGGTGCTTTGAATGCAATATTCCTGCTTCTTGGCAGAATGGGGTTGGACTGGATGGTCCATGAGGTCTCTTCCAACTCTAGGATTCTATGATTCTAGGGACTCAACCAGACTCTCTCCTGGAGGCATTTGGGGAGAGGGCCCTTCTTGTGCCTGCGACCCATGTGCAGGCTTCTGAGACCGATCCTCCTGTCCTTTCTCTCAACAGGAGAATAGCAGCTGCCTGCCCAGGTGGAACATCCCTCCCAGAGGACCCCAGCTGCCTCGGCCTGGTAAGTCACCCCTGTCCGAAATATTATAAATTAACTAAGTATTTTTAATTACAAAAATGTCATTCCAGCACTGAAAGGGTTAAGTGGATGCAATGGCTTGGCAAAAGCTGCAATTCGTATATAAGGAGGTGTGCTTGTAGCTTAGTAATGCCTCAGTCTGAGAGAGCTCTCAGTGTGAGAGAATGCCTCAGTGGGAGAAGAGGTCTCAGTGTCAGTGTGAGATAGGCCTCGGTATGAGAAAGTCTTGTGTGTGAAGGTTGTACTTCATTTGTGTTACAGAAAAGTTGTCCTTGTAAATAGTGCAACCATATTACCGTATATACTCGAGTATAAGCCGACCCGAATATAAGCCGAGGCACCTAATTTTACCATAAGAAACTGGGAAAATGTATTGACTCGAGTATAAGCCGAGGGTGAGAAATGCAGATGCTACTGATAATCATCAGTAGGTTAAATGTTTTTGTGTATTTACATAAAACTGTAATTTAAGATAAGACTGTCCAACTGTCCAAACCATTATGCTAACCTTCCTCAATGTAAATGTGCTTATGTATCCTTCCAATAATAATAAAGAGAGTAAAATAATAAATGTAATAATAATAATACATAGAATAAAATAATAAATGTAATAAAAATAATAGTACAGTAAAATAATGTAAAGGTAATAATAATAATAATACATAGAATAAAATAATAAATGTAATAAAAATAATAGTACAGTAAAATAATGTAAAGGTAATAATAATAATAATAATAATAATAATAATAATAATACATAGAATAAAATAATAAATGTAATAAAAATAATAGTACAGTAAAATAATGTAAAGGTAATAATAATAATAATAATAATAATAATAATAATACATAGAATAAAATAATAAATGTAATAAAAATAATAGTACAGTAAAATAATGCAAAGGTAATAATAATAATAATAATAATAGTACATAGAGTAAAATAATAAATGTAATAAAAATAATAGTACAGTAAAATAATGTAAAGGTAATAATAATAATAATAATAGTACATAGAGTAAAATAATAAATGTAATAATAATAATAATAGAGTAAATAATGGAAATTTAATAATAGTAATAGAGTAAAATAATAAATGTAATAATAATAATAATAATAATAATAATAATAATAATAGAGTAATTAATGGAAATTTAATAACAGTAATAGAGTAAAATAATAAATGTACTAAAATAATAAATGTAATAATAATAATAATAGAGTAAATAATGGAAATTTAATAACTAATAGAATAAAATAATAAATGTACTAAAATAATAATAGTAATAATAATAATAATAGAGTAAATAATGGAAATTTAATAACAGTAATAGAGTAAAATAATAAATGTACTAAAAATAATACTAATAACATAGTAAAATAATAAATAACCTTGACTCGAGTATAAGCCAAGGAGAACCTTTTTACAGTAAAATAATGTAAAGGTAATAATAATAATAATAATACATAGAGTAAAATAATAAATGTAATAATAATAATAGAGTAAATAATGGAAATTTAATAATAGTAGTAGAGTAAAATAATAAATGTAATAATAATATTAATAATATATAGAGTAAAATAATAAATGTAATAATAATAATAACGAGTAAATACTGGAAATTTAATAACAGTAATAGAGTAAATGTACTAAATAATAATAAATAATAAAACAATAAAGTAAAATAATAAATAATAAAAATAAATAATAAATGTACTAAAAATAATACTAATAACATAGTAAAATAATAAATAACTTGGACTCGAGTATAAGCCGAGGGGAACCTTTTTAGCCTAAAAAAAGGGGCTGAAAAACTAGGCTTATAGAGTATATACAGTAATTTTCTATAAAGAAAACCTCCCTATGGGTGAGGTAACATTTATTTATTTATTATTTATTTACAGTATTTGTATACCGCTTTTTCTCACCCCGAGGGGGACTCAATGCGGTTTACACATAAGTAATGGCAAAATTCAATGCCCAGTACAATTATAATTACAATTATACACTACAATTAGACATAAATCAAGTTAAAAACAGTACATTGGTCTGTGTGTTTTTGTTCTTTTTATCACCTTTAGCGGAGCCCCAGTGGCACGGTGGGTTAAACGGACTGCTGACCGACAGGTCGGAGGTTCTAATCTGGGGAGAGTGTGGATGAGCTCCCTCTGTCAGCTCCAGCTCCCCATTCGGGGACATGAGAGAAGCCTCCTACAAGGATGGTGCCAGCAGGACTGCTGACCGACAGGTTGGAGGTTCTAATCTGGGGAGAGCGCGGATGAGCTCCCTCTGTCAGCTCCAGCTCCTCATTCGGGGGACATGAGAGGAGCCTCCCACAAGGATGGTAACACATCCGGTCATCCCCTGGGCAATGCCCTTGCAGACAGCCAATCCTCTCACAACAGAAGTGACTTGCAGTTTCTCAAGTAGCTTCTGACGCAAAAAATGTCACCTTTGGCTACTGGTGCTGGGTCACACTGCTGTTGAGTTACTCTGCTATATATTTATGCGGAGGGTCTTTTGTTAATAAGCCCACTTGCCCACACCTCCAGGAAGGGACAGGGTCTCGTCTCCAGCTTGTACTCCTTGGGGGTAATGGGTGTCTCAGTGGATATTAATGTTTATTGTTTTGCTTTATGAGTTTTATTGTTGTTATGCTGTTGTTTTAATGAGGGCCTTGTCCTTTTGTAAGCCGCTCCGAGTCCTTCAGGAGATGTTAGCAGGGTATAAAGATAATAATAATAATAATAATAATAATAATAATAATAATAATAATAATAATATGAGAATATTAGGGAATCTGCCTGGAACCTAGGCCTTTCGCTCCTGAATGACCTGGTCTCCTCTTCTTCTTCTCCCTCCCTCCTTCCTTCCCTTTGTCTTCTGGGCCAGGTGTGCAGCAAGGAAGGAAACCTGTCCCAAGCAACAGTGCCCAGGCTGCAGGGCACCTGGCGCCATTCATGGTCACCAACTCACAGGGCAAAGTGGTCCAGCTTTCAGCGTCTCAGGAGCCGGCCAAGTGAGTGTCTGATTGAAACTATAGCGGGGAAGTGGCTTAAGTTGGAGGGAAGTGGGGCCCACGTTTTTGACTACAAAAGCGTGAGTCTGGCACTAAAAAAGTGTATAGGCCGAAGCCTGTTAGAGTCAGTGAGCCAAAGCTAGTGTCGTCCTGAGGAGAGTGAGTAGGCCGAAGCCTGTTAGAGTCAGTGGGCCAAAGCTAGTGTCATCCTGAGGAGTGAGTAAGCCTCAAAAGCTTCAAAAGTTACAAAAAGAAAAAAAGCAACATGGAAGAAAATGTTTTTAAGAAACAAGATGTGACATGTAGAGGTCATACAAAGTTGAGCTTACATAGGAAGTTGAGTTGTGGTTAAGCCAAAGGTTGTGGTTAAGTACAGAGTCTGCAGGTACAAGAAGGTACTTTCCATCAAAAGGTCAAGGGAGGGGGGCTGGAAAGAGAGTACTTTCCATGACCTATTATTTGAGTATAAAGATCGGCAGAAACAGAGGAGGGGGCGGCAGTCTTGGAAAGCACAAACAGAAGTGCTTCTGTCTGTCTCATGTTGATCAACTTGATTAAATGGTGTCTTACATGAACCAATTGAACTCTGTATATTTCTCTGAAAAGTGACCCCACACCCTAAACCCGTGATCCCTTACAGGCCGAAGCCTGTTAGTCAGTGGACCAAAGCTAGTGTCGTCCTGAGGAGAGTGAGTAGGCCAAAGCCTGTTCAAGTGAGTGGGTCAAAGCTAGTGTCGTCCTGAGGAGAATGAGTAGGCCGAAAGTGGTCCAAGGTTAGTGTCGTCCTGAGGAGAGTGAGTAGGCTGAAGCCTGTTAGAGTCAGTGGTCCAAAGCTCGTGTCGTCCTGAGGAGAATGAGTAGGCCGAAGCCTGTTAGAGTCACAGGAAGAGAACAAAATGGAGGATTCAAGGGCTTGTTATGTGCTCAGAAAAAAGAGGCATCCCTAAGTATCAGTGCAATAAGGGAGTGCTTTTCCTTTCCTGCTAACTCAGCTTGCTGTGCATTTCCTTAATGAGGACTATAAACATGTGCAGGATGCAATGGTGTTTCAACAGGAAGCTGAATCACCCAGCAAGACCTGGGTGGGCAGCAGGAGTGTCCGCCATCTTCTAACGATCTTGTCAGATTAGGGAGATGATGGACCAAGACTTAACAAAATGAAGTTCAACGGGGACAAATGCAAGAGACTCTACTTAGTCAGAAAAAACGAAATGCAAAGAGACAGAATGGGGGACAATGCCTGGCTCGAGAGCAGTACATGTGAAAAAGATCTTGGAGTCCTCGTGGACAACAAGTTAAACATGAGCCAGGAATGTGATGTGGCGGCAAAAAAAGCCAATGGGGTTTTGGCCTGCATCAAGAGAAGCATAGTGTCTAAATCCAGGGAAGTCATGCTCCCCATGCTTTATTCTGCCTTGGTTAGACCACACCTGGAATATTGTGTCCAATTCTGGGCACCACAATTCAAGAGAGATATTGACAAGCTGGAATGTGTCCAGAGGAGGGCGACTAAAATGATCAAGGGTCTGGAGAACAAGCCCTATGAGGAGCGGCTTAAGGAGCTGGGCATGTTTAGCCTGAAGAAGAGAAGGCGGAGAGGAGATATGATATAAATATGTGAGAGGAAGCCACAGGGAGGAGGAGGGAGCAAGCTTGTTTTCTGCTTCCCTGGAGACTAGGGCGCAAGGGAACAATGGCTTCAAACTACAAGAGAGGAGATTCCACCTGAACATTAGGAAGAGCTTCCTGACTGTGACAGCCATTCAGCAGTGGAACTGCTGTGGGTGTGTTGGAGGCTCCTTCTTTGGAAGCTTTTAAACAGAGGCTGGATGGCCATCTGTCAGGGGTGATTTGAATGCAATTTTCCTGCTTCTTGGCAGAATGGGGTTGGACTGGATGGCCCATGAGGTCTCTTCCAATTCTATGATTCTCTGCGATGAGAAGAATAACTAGCTGACTCTTGTTTCAGGGAGTGGTTTGCCGTGTGGGTGGGGAACCTCGTCCCAGCGGTCACCGAGGAGGCCCTGCTCCGCTACTTCCAGCCGTAAGTATCCACCCTCTTCCCTGTTTCTGGGCCAAATCTTTCTCCCTAGGCTGCAAATGTGCAGCCACACTCAGCCCGTAATGAACAAGGAAAGCAGAAGGGCTGCCTGGACAACAGGGGCGGGGTCCTTTTCCCAGGCCCCCCCTTCCCTCCTGTGGCCCAGGGCAACCTTACAGGCAGAGTAACGCTTCCTCTCCTTCGGGCGCAGGTTTGGGCCCATCGCTTCCATCCGCCGCCTCCCTCAGAGGTTCTGTGCCTTCGTCAACTACACACGCCGGGAAGCAGCCGAAGCCGCCTTTGCAGCGTTACAGGTACGTGGTATTGGAGGGTAGTGAAAATGAAGAGCAGGGAAAATAAGCAGCAGCAAAATATAGCCGTTTCAACAGAGCAGAAGCTTCCAAACACAGCAGACATAGGTTTTAAAAGTTACAAAACTGCATCTCTATATAGGAAAGCTAGGGTCCAGGTATCTAACCAGGTATTGAATCCAGACAAGACAGAGGTCCTACTGGTCAGTCGGAAGGCCGAACAGGGTATAGGGTTACAGCCTGTGTTAGACGGGGTTCCACTCCCCCTGAAGACGCAGGTTCGCAGCTTGGGAGTGATCCTGGACTCACCGCTGAGCCTGGAACCCCAGGTCTCAGCGGTGGCCGGGAGAGCTTTCGCACAGTTAAAACTTGTGCGCCAGCTGCGCCCGTACCTTGGGAAGTCGGACTTGGCCACGGTGGTCCACGCTCTTGTCACATCCCGGTTGGATTACTGCAACGCACTCTACGTTTTGCCTTTGAAGACTGCTCGGAAACTTCAACTAGTCCAACGAGAAGCAGCCAGATTGCTCACCGGAGCGGTGTACAGGGAGCACACCACCCCCCTGTTGCGTCAGCTCCAATTCCGAGCACAATTCAAAGTGCTGGTTTTGACCTACAAAACCCTATACGGTTCCGGCCCAGTGTATTTGTCCGAACGGATCTCCCTCTACGTCCCACCTCGAGTTTAAGATCTTCTGAGGAGGCCCTTCTCTCAACCCCGCCTCTATCACAAGTGAGACTGGCGGGGACGAGGAGCAGGGCCTTCTCAGTGGTGGCCCCCCACCTGTGGAACTCACTCCCCGGGGAGATCAGATCGACGACTTCCCTTCTAGCGTTTAGGAAAAAACTAAAGACCTGGATGTGGGACCAAGCTTTTGGCCATGCTGACAACTAACTAAAGGACCTGTCGATAGACAAGGACAATGGAATGGAATGGATATATGGACTCTGATATATGGACTCTGACATGAGATAGTTTTTATGATTTTATTAGGTATTGATGTTTTATTTTAATTGTTGAATTGTTATATTTTGTATTGTTTGTTGTGTGATTTGGGCATCTAATTGTGCCTTTCCTGTAAGCCGCCCTGAGTCCCCCCCGGGGTGAGAAGGGCAGGGTATAAGTAGATGAAATAAATAATAAATAAATAATAATAAATCTAGCTGTCTCCTGCATTGTGTTGTCAAAGGCTTTCGTGGCTGGAATCGCTAGGTTGCTGTGAGTTTTCCAGGCTGTCTGGCCATGTTCCAGAAGCATTCTCTCCTGACGTCTATGGCAGGCATCCCCAGAGGTTGTTATGTCTGGGTTGTTGTATTATTATTATCATTATTATTAGTATTTATTATCTTTATTTGTACCCCGCTAGCATCTCCCGAAGGACTCGATGCGGCTTACAAAGGCCAAGGCCTCAATACACAACATAACAATACACAACCTAAAGCAAATTAAAACAGTTAAAGCAATATTAAACAACAACAATAAACAATACACCAGGACACAATAAAACTGGGCCGGGCCAGAATAATGGGTACAGATTAAAAGTACTGATGTGACAGGTGATATGTAAGGATTATAGGGTAAGTGCAGTGTGCCAGCAATCTTAATTTCTACTAAAGTGCTTCTGGGACTTGTTGTTGGAGTTTTCCTATTCTGGAAAGGCACATCGGAACAGCCAGGTCTTCAAGTTCTTTCTGAAACTGCCAACGTAGGGGCCTGTCTAAGATCTTTGGGGAGGGTGTTCCAAAGTCGGGGGGCCACCACAGAGAAGGCCCTGTCTTGCGTCCCCACCAGACGCGCCTGCGACGCAGGTGGAATCACGAGCAGGGCCTCTCCGGATGAACGAAGTGATCGCATGGGTTCATAAACGAAGATGCGGTCACGCAGGTAGGCAGGTCCCAAACGGTTTAGGTCTTTGTAGGTAAGCACCTGCACCTTAAATTGGGCTCGGAAAATAAACGGCAGCCAGTGGAGCTCCCTGAACAGGAGGGTTGGGAGCACCAGTTAACATCCTGGCCGCTGCCCATTGGACCAGTTGAAATTTCCGAGCCGTTTTCAAGGGCAGCCCCACGTAGAGCGCATTACAGTAGTCCAATCTAGAGGTGACCAAGGCATGGACCACCCTGGCCAGATCAGCCTTCGCGAGGTACGGTCGCAGTTGGCGCACGAGTCTCAATTGTGCAAAAGCCTTCCCGGACACCGCCGACGCCTGAGCCTTAAGCGTAAGTGATGAATCCAGGAGGATTCCCAAACTGCGGACCTGTGACTTCAGGGGGAGTGTAACCCCGTCCAGCACAGGTTGCCACCCTATACCTCGATCTGGTTTGCGATCGACCAGGAGGACCTCTGTCTTGTCGGGATTGATCTTCAGCTTGTTCCTCCTCATCCAGATAGACACAGCGGCCAGGCACTCGTCCAGCACTCAAGAGGCCTCCTTAGAATTAAGTAGAAATGAGTAGCAGAGTTGTGTGTCATCTACATAGAGGTGGCACCTAACTCCAAAACTCCGGATGACCTCTCCCAGCGGTTTCATGTAGATGTTGTAGGTTTTTTCGGGCTATATGGCCATGGTCTTGAGGCATTCGCTCCTCAAGCATCTATTGCAGAATCCACTGTAAAAACAGATTCATGCAAATGCCCTAAGATGTCCACTAGATGGCATCCAGGAGCCTTTTAATTTCCCCAGATTTTTCGTGACCCCAAAATTGAGCTAAGGGAACCCCATTTGGTATCCGGACCCACAGTTGAAGAAGCAACATTTGATTGACAGTTGGGGAGAGGCTTTGCCCAACTTCACCTCTGACCGTAAAGGGTTTGTTTGCTTCTCTCTTTTTTACTACCCCCCCTCCCCCATGCAGAACGTTGAAGTGGAAGGAAACAAGATTGTGCTGCAGCTCAAGCACCCAGTCCATGCCACGCCACCCCCGGTCAAGGCTCCTGGAGCCATCCGTCAGCCACCAAAGGCATAAACAAGGGCTTCTGGGTCATGGTGGCTGCCAAAGGTAAGGTAGGTGGGTGGATTTGTGTTGTGTCAAAATAGAGGGAAGGCTTCAGAATGAGCATTGAGGTCCAGTTGTTGCTGGTTCTGCAGGGAAAGCTGCCATGTCTAGCCCAGGACTTCTTAAACTTTTCCACTCGGGGTCCCTTTTGGCCCGTGAAATTTGTATGCGGCCTTAAGTATATGAAATTGGTATAAACAAGCAACCATACATGTCATAACAAACCAGCATTTGCAAGGCTTGCTAAAGAGGCTGGATTTCCTTTTTTTGGAGTACTGCTGAAGGTTTCACCGACACTGTTCCAGACTGGCTTTGGGATAGGGTCATTTAAATAGGTTTCCTTGAGTCATTAATTAAGATTCCAAGGCATGATAAAGGTTAAATAGTCATTGTAGGCACCATGGCAGTCTATTGTCAAGGTTGCACTACAGATTCCTGTAAAGCACAATTTCTCAACCTGGAGGTTGGGATCCCTGGGTGGGTTGAGAGGGGGTGTCAGAGGGGTCTCCAAGGACCATCAGAAAACACAGTATTTTCTGTTGATCACGTGGGTTCTCTGTGGGAAGTTGGGCCCAATAGTATTGTCTGTGGGGTTCAGGATGCTCGTTGGTTGTAGATGAACTATAAATCCCAACAACTACAACTCCCAAATGCCAAGGTCTATTTCCCCCAAACTCCATCACTGTTCACATTTGGACATATTGAGTATTCATCGGCGAAGAATGTGTTCAGATCCCAGTAATGTGGCCTTCTGCAGCTGGCAGATGGTAATCTTGTCAGCGCCGATTGTGTTTAAGTGCAGGCCAAGGTCTTTAGGCACTGCACCCAGTGTGCCGATCACCACTGGGACCCCCTTGACTGCAGAGTCTTTGCAGTTCGATCTTTAAATCCTCATATCGTGCCAGCTTTTCATTATTATTATTATCATTATTATTTGAAACACAACAAGATGAGTCCACAGCAGACAAGATCGCTCTGCTGGCTGTTGTATTAGATCATCATCATTATCATTATTGTTGTTGACACAAAAGCACAGTATGTCACAGCAAACGAGATCTACATGCTGGATTTCGTATCACAATATCACAAGTCGAACACTTCCCAAGTGTCTAGAACCGTGTGATGTATCGGCGAAAAATGCGTGCAGATCCCAGTAATGTGGCCTTCTGCAGCTGGCAGATGGTAATCTTGTCAGCGCCGATTGTGTTTAAGTGCAGGCCAAGGTCTTTAGGCACTGCACCCAGTGTGCCGATCACCAGTGGGACCCCCTTGACAGGTTTGTGCCAGAGGCTTTGCAGTTCAATATTTAAATCCTCATATTGTGTCAGCTTTTCATTATTATTATTATTATTATTATTATTATTATTATTATTATTATTAGAAACACAACAAGATGAGTCCACAGCAGACAAGATCACTCTGCTGGCTGTTGTATTGGATCATCATCATTATTGTTGTTGTTAACACAAAAGCACAGTATGTCACAGCAAACGAGATCTATATGCTGGATTTCGTATCACAATATCACAAGTCGAACACTTAATAATAATAATAATAATAATAATAATAATAATAATAATAATAATTTATTTGTACCCCGCTACCATCTCCCGAGGGACTCGGTGCAGCTTACATGAGGCCGAGCCCACAACACAACAATAAACAATAACAGCAATAATACAAAAACAATACATAAACTCACAAGCAAAAACAATAACATGATGCATTTAAAAAAGCTATGCTGTTGTTGTTCATTCGTTCAGTCGTCTCCGACTCTTCGTGACCTCATGGACCAGCCCACGCCAGAACTCCCTGTTGGCCATCACCACCCCCAGCTCCTTCAAGGTCCAAATGGACCAAATGTAATAATTAAAATTTTAAAAATCATGCTGGGCATAAACAGATAACATGTAATTGGGATAGAGGTTTTTGGAGAGGGAAGAAATGTGCAGACAATCTAAAGTGCGTTTAAGGACATCTTGCACTTCCCAAGCGTCTAGGACTGTGTGATGTATTTTCAAATGATGCGCACAGATCCAAGTAAGGTGGCCTTTTGCAGTTGACAGATCGTGATTTTGTCAATGTTTATTGTTTCCAAATGCCGGCTGAGATCTTTTGGCATGGCAATATTATTATTATTATTATTATTATTATTATTATTATTATTATTGAGTGAATGGGACCCCATTTGGGGTCGGGACCCACGGTTTAAGCAGCAATGGTCTAGAACCTCCAGAACCAGTAGCGGAATCCAACTAGGGTTAGGGATTTGAAACGGCAAGAGGGCTGTGGTGGTGTTGGGGAGCGATGTGCTGAAGGGAATGGGGCCAAGGAAGACCTGAATGCCAGCAACCTTTCTCTGCTCTCTCTTCCCCAGGACCGGGCTCCGAAGTCTTGGATACTTCTCTTGTCCGAAAAGACGCTGCTGGGCTTTGTGTTGGGCTCTTGTGTTGGGAAGGAGGACACTGGTGTCGGTTGGCACCAGGAGGACACTGGTGTCCATTGGCTCTTCCTTTGTGTTGGGCTCTTGTGTTGGGAAGGAGGACACTGGTGTCCATTGGAGCCAAAGACGAGGCATCTACAACCTCAGGAAATTTGCTTACAAGGCAGGGGAAAGTTAGAATGTGTTGGCCTCATGTGCTGCTCTGCCCCCTCTGCCATGCTTTGGCTTATATCCGAGCAAGATGCAGAAGGGTTGGAAATAGAGTCAGATTAGCCCTTCAGTTGCCCAAGTTGGGTGGGTGGGAATTAATCTCAGGGGCCCATTGGGTCAGCATACAGGGCCAGGCCCTCTCAGCCTCCTTCCCTGGGGCAGGCATACCTCAAACCCCTCATTCGACTGCCTTCCTGCCTGCCTCTTAGTCTCTGCTGAGGCGTCCCCGTCCCCGTCCCCTTCACATTGCAGGGATCCTTCTCCCAAAGGTGCCTTAAGGGAGGCAGGAGCCGAGCCCACCAAGACTTTGCCAAACAAAGGCCTTCTGCCACAGGCTTGCTGCATAATTTGGGGAAGAGAGGGCTTTGTGAATGCGGTTTGGCTCCTTGCGGGGAACAAGGGCAGTCCGGAGTTGCGTGGTGCAATACATACTGAGTCAGTGCAGAGATCGGGACCTGTTGCTGCTGCCGCCATGTTTTTTTCTACACTGTTGACAATAAAAGTACTAAAAAACAAATAGTCTAGGAAATTACTCAGTCAAAGTTCATGAAAACAAATACTGGATCTTCCAAGGTAAAACCCCAAAACTTGAGCATGAATCGGACAAGGCACTTAACACAGGAATCTATCCAAGGCAAGGCGACAAAGTCTTGACTCAATTCCAACATTGCTTCATCTGGCTACAGATTCTGTACTTGGCACTTTTATCTTGCCTCATCTGCTTGTTGCCAATATGCTCCCAAGGTGTTGCACTCCAGGCCAGGAAGCCCTCTGACTTTAAACTACACAGCCGAGTAAAATGCAAGCAGTTCGTTGAAGTTATTTAAAAGCAGTAGCAGTAAAAAGTCCACAAAAATAAGTAAATACTGCAGACTACTTCAACCAGAGAAGTCAGCCATAGCAGAGTACCTGATGAACCAACCTGGACACAGCATTTTATTTGAGAACACAGAAATGCTGGACCACACCAACAACCACCATGTCAGGCTACACAGAGAAGCCACTGAAATCCACAAGCATGCGGACAATTTCAACAGAAAGGAGGAAACCATGAAAATGAACAAAATCTGGCTACCAGTATTTTAAAAAACTCTAAAATTAGAACAGCACAACAACAGAAAGGAAACAAACAAGGACTTCTAATCACCTCTCAACAAAAGATTGCTCCAGGCACTGCCCGGCAATCAAATGCTAATCAAGGTGATCAGTTGAAACATTCACACCTAGCTCCAGCAGACAAGAGTCCTTTGTCCCACCCTGGTCATTCCATAGATATATAAACCCACTTTCCTAGTTCCAACAGACCTCACTACCTCTGAGGATGCTTGCCATAGATGCAGGCGAAACGTCAGGAGAGAATGCCTCTAGACCATGGCCATATAGCCCGATGCGCCTTCCTCTTGGCACGTTTCTCTTTCACCCTCCATTCGTGCCTCTTTAAATTCCACGGGCCGGGGCTTCCCAGTTCTCAGTGTCTATGCCAGAGTTTTTAAGGTTGGCTTTGAGCCCATCTTTCAATCTCTTTTCCTGCCCACCAACATTATGTTTTCCGTTCTTGAGTTCAGAGTAGAGCAATTGCGGTTCCAGTTGGGGTTGGCTTCATGCGCCTTCCTCTTGGCACGTTTCTCTCTTTTACCCTCCATTCTCTCTTTGTGCCTCTTCAAACTCCACAGCACTGCTGGTCACAGCTGACCTCCAGCTGGAACGCTCAAGGGCCAGGGCTTCCCAGATCTCAGTGTCTATCCCACAGATCAAAGGATCAAGGGTCTGGGGAACAAGCCCTATGAGGAGCCATCAGAAGCAAAGGCGGAGAGGAAACATAATGAGGGGGAAGTCCTAGGGAGGAGGGAGGAGGCTTCCTTTCTGCTACCCTGGAGACTAGGTGTGAAGGAGCGTGGTTAAAGCTTACTGCCACCTAATGTGTGAGGAAAGCTGGGCAATGATCAATATCGGCTTAGGAGCTATTTCATAAAGGGACTATCAATTACAGAAGGCTTTATTCATTTGATAGCGTAGCGTTCACTGTCCCTGGCTTGACTCCACTTCTTATGCAGGCTGTTTGCCTTGAGAGAAACTGTATCAGGCATGGCTTGAGGAAAACAGTAACAAGTTTATTTTAACAGGAGTATAACATGTTTAACTGTTTCTTCACAAGAGGCACAAATCTTGATTGGTTACATTAGTAAGGTTTCATGAGTAATCTCAGGCACAGTCTTCAAGAAGTTTCTATATGCAGATGTAACCCTTCTGGACAACTGTCCTAATATAACAAATAAGCTAAAAGGCTTATTTAACAGAATTCCCTATAGCCCACTGGCTACAGACACATTCCCTGAATCTCCACCCAGAGACTCAGTCTACCCAGTAGCTCACTGGCTTACTGACTGACTTTCAAAAACAGCTGCCCCATGAAGAGGCAGTTGGCTCCGCCCCTGTTGCTATGGCAACTCAGCCAACGCCAAGCCACCATCTCCAACAAAACACAATCCTACATACTTACCATCCTTAAACCACTATTTAAATTACACATAACCAAAGGAATAAAATTTACACATCGTCACACTAGGACGCAATGGAACAATTGCTTCAAACTACAGAAAAGTAGATTCCACCTGAACATGAGGAAGAACTTCCTGACTATGTGAGAAAGCTGTTTGACAGTGGAACTCTCTGTCGCAGAGTGTGGTGGAGGCTCCTTCTTTGGAAGCTTTCAGGCAGAGGCTGGATGGCCATCTGTTTTTTGTGCTTTGAATGCAATTTTCCTGCTTCTTGGCTGAATGGGGTTGGACTGGATGGGCCACCAGGTCTCTTCCAAGTCTAGGATTCTATGATGTGTCAGGAGGGCTTGGACATGTCCTGCCTGCCAGAATGCAGTTGGACTGGTTGGCCCTTGGGTCTCTTCCTCCTCTATGAGTCTAGGGCAATGGGTGGCCATGTGGGAGGATCCTGGCCCCGCTCTTGGGTACCTGCTTGGCTTGAGAGCTCCCTGGGTGCTATTTTGGGCCAGGCCTTATTAAACAAGGTCGGTGCAAGAACGCTCCCTTGGGGTAAACCATTCTTTGGCCTCCTCCATCTCTGATGGCCAAAAGCGAGGAGGAGCTGAGGAGCCTTCTAATCAAGGTGAAAGAAGAAAGCGCAAAAGCTGGATTGCAGCTAAACATCAAAAAAACCAAGATTATGGCAACAAGAATGATTGGCAACTGGAAAATAGAGGGAGAAAATGTGGAGGCCGTGACAGGGTTTGTATTTCTAGGCGCAAAGACTACTGCAGATGCAGACTGTGGCCAGGAAATCAGAAGACGCTTCTTGGGAGGAGAGCAATGTCCAGTCTCGATCAAATAGTCAAGAGTAGAGACATCACACTGGCAACAAAGATCCATTGCCTAGTCAAAGCCATGGTCTTCCCTGTAGTCACCTACGGATGTGAGAGCTGGACCTTCGGGAAGGCTGAGCGAAGGAAGATCGATGCTTTTGAGCTGTGGTGTTGGAGGAAAGTGCTGAGAGTGCCTTGGACTGCGAGAAGATCCAACCAGTCCATCCTCCAGGAAAGAAAGCCCGGCTGCTCACTGGAGGGAAAGATACTAGAGACAAAGTTGAAGTCCTTTGGCCACATCATGAGGAGACAGCAAAGCCTAGAGAAGACAATGATGCTGGGGAAAATGGAAGGCAAAAGGAAGAGGGGCTGACCAAGGACAAGACGGATGGATGGCATCCTTGAAGTGACTGGACTGACCTTGAAGGAGCTGGGGGTGGTGACGGCCGACAGGGAGCTCTGGCGTGGGCTGGTCCATGAGGTCACGAAGAGTCGGAGACGACTGAACGAATGAACAACAACATCTCTGCTGAGCTACCCTTTTAGGCAGCCATGGCCACCCCACAGCTGTGTCCTGGAGAAGCAGCCCCATTGCTGTGAGTTTGGGGTTGAGTGGGTGGCTTGGTCTTCCTGCCATGGCAGCAGCTGCTGCCACTATTGTGTGCCTTTTGCTGTTCCCACCCGCACCGATTTCATGGGGCTCTGTTTCAGGTATCCATGGGTTTCCGTTCCCAGGGCAGGAATTTCCGGCAGCTGGGCTAAAGAAAGCTGCTGGTGGCTCTTTGAAGCTGCTTGGCTTCCCGGTTCCCTTGGGAGCCGGATTCCGGGCATTCCTTGGGGGCCTGGGGATGCCACGTCCTGGGCACCTCCTCCTCCGAGCGTGGAGCAACCCTCTTTCCAGGGGCCTGGCTCTGGGCTGCAGTGGCCCCTTCTCCATGCCCCATAGCTGTTGATTTGCCCTCAGTTGCCCTCGGCTCAGGAGGGGCACCTTCCTCCCATTAATAAAGTTATTATGACTTAGATGAATGGTTGGAAGGCATCATTGTCAATGGGTTGTTGTAGGGTTGCCTGCCATAGATGCAGGTGAAACATCAGGAGAGAATGCTTCTAGAACATGGCCATAGAGTTCTTTATTTAAAGAGACAAGAGTCCTTTCTCTCTCCTACTCTGGACATTATTCCGCAGGTATATATGCACTCCACTTGCATCACTGCCAACAGAACCTCTGAGGATGCTATTAGCCACAGGTGCAGGTGAAACGTCAGGAGAGAATGCTTCTGGAACATGGCCATAGAGTTCTTTATTTAAAGAGACAAGACCCCTTTCTCTCTCCTACTCTGTACATTATTCCACAGGTATATATGCACTCCACTTGCCTCACTGCCAACAGAACCTCTGAAGATGCCATTAACCACAGGTGCAGGCGAAACGTCAGGAGAGAATGCTTCTGGAACATGGCCATGGAGTTCTTTATTTAAAGAGAAAAGAGTCCTTTCT